CATTTCATCTGTAGTTGAAGCAATAAGCAGTTTCGTTTTAGAAGCATTAAAGTTTACAAGCCATTTCCTGCCCCAGTCAACCACAGATGAGAGTTCCTTGCCGAGGCTTACGGCCAGGTTTGTTTTGTGACAAGCCTTTGATCGGTCTTCAAGAACGCGGGCGTACGATTTTCCCCTTCCCAGTACAGACCGATCCTCAGCAAGCTTTTTGAGGCCATAATCAATAAGAAGGTCGTTGGTTACCTAGAAAAGAACAAACTCTTCAGCGATGAGTTGTATGCGCTTCGGTTCGAACAACTGTCGACATCCTAACTACCATCACTCACAGAATCAGTGAGGCTTTTGACAACAAAAAACGCATCGAGGATTATAAGTTTAAATATGTCAAAAGGCAAGGTATGGCACAAAGGTTTACTGCGCAAGCTCTCCATGTATGGAATCAAGGAAATTCCAGTGTATGCCGATAAACCAGATGTGCCAGGAAAGCCTCTGATTGGGAGATGAGAGGTTTTGAGGAGCGTAGAATGACATCTTACTTGCTGTTGTTCTAAGACTCGCTCTCTGACCTGGGGTGGTATCACCTGTTTGGGTCCCAGCTATGGGCAAAATAGTGAACGTACAAACAAATAGAAAACACTATGAAAGTATGAAATATATTTTTACAGTACAAATATCAGCACTACATTTCATCTGTAGTTGAAGCAATAAGCAGTTTCGTTTTAGAAGCATTAAAGTTTCCAAGCCATTTCCTGCCCCAGTCAACCACAGATGAGAGTTCCTTGCCGAGGCCTACGGCCAGGTTTGTTTTGTGACAAGCCTTTGATCGGTCTTCAAGAACGCGGGCGTACGATTTTCCCCTTCCCAGTACAGACCGATCCTCAGCAAGCTTTTGAGGCCATAATCAATAAGAAGGTCGTTGGTTACCTAGAAAAGAACAAACTCTTCAGCGATGAGTTGTATGCGCTTCGGTTCGAACAACTGTCGACATCCTAACTACCATCACTCACAGAATCAGTGAGGCTTTTGACAACAAAAAAAACGCATCGAGGATTATAAGTTTAAATATGTCAAAGGCAAGGTATGGCACAAAGGTTTACTGCGCAAGCTCTCCATGTATGGAATCAAGGAAATTCCAGTGTATGCCGATAAACCAGATGTGCCAGGAAAGCCTCTGATTGGGAGATGAGAGGTTTTGAGGAGCGTAGAATGACATCTTACTTGCTGTTGTTCTAAGACTCGCTCTGTCCTGGGGTGGTATCACCTGTTTGGGTCCCAGCTATGGGCAAAATAGTGAACGTACAAACAAATAGAAAACACTATGAAAGTATGAAATATATTTTTACAGTACAAATATCAGCACTACATTTCATCTGTAGTTGAAGCAATAAGCAGTTTCGTTTTAGAAGCATTAAAGTTTCCAAGCCATTTCCTGCCCCAGTCAACCACAGATGAGAGTTCCTTGCCGAGGCCTACGGCCAGGTTTGTTTTGTGACAAGCCTTTGATCGGTCTTCAAGAACGCGGGCGTACGATTTTCCCCTTCCCAGTACAGACCGATCCTCAGCAAGCTTTTTGAGGCCATAATCAATAAGAAGGTCGTTGGTTACCTAGAAAAGAACAAACTCTTCAGCGATGAGTTGTATGCGCTTCGGTTCGAACAACTGTCGACATCCTAACTACCATCACTCACAGAATTAGTGAGGCTTTTGACAACAAAAAAAACGCATCGAGGATTATAAGTTTAAATATGTCAAAGGCAAGGTGTGGCACAAAGGTTTACTGCGCAAGCTCTCCATGTATGGAATCAAGGAAATTCCAGTGTATGCCGATAAACCAGATGTGCCAGGAAAGCCTCTGATTGGGAGATGAGAGGTTTTGAGGAGCGTAGAATGACATCTTACTTGCTGTTGTTCTAAGACTCGCTCTGACCTGGGGTGGTATCACCTGTTTGGGTCCCAGCTATGGGCAAAATAGTGAACGTACAAACAAATAGAAAACACTATGAAAGTATGAAATATATTTTTACAGTACAAATATCAGCACTACATTTCATCTGTAGTTGAAGCAATAAGCAGTTTCGTTTTAGAAGCATTAAAGTCAACCATTAAAGTTTGATCGGTCTTCAAGAACGCCATTTTTCCCCTTCCCAGTACAGACCGATCCTCAGCAAGCTTGAGGCCATAATCAATAAGAAGGTCGTTGGTTACCTAGAAAGAACAAACTCTTCAGCGATGAGTTGTATGCGCTTTCGAACAACTGTCGACATCCTAACTACCCTCACAGAATCAACCACAACAAAAAAACGCATCGAGATTATTCTTGCCGAGGCACAAGGTTTACTGCGCAAAGGCCTCCATGTTTGTTTTGATGTGCAAGCCTTTGATCGGTCTTCAAGAACGCGGGCGTCTGACGATTTTGGTATCCCCTTCCCAGTACAGACCGATCCTCAAAGTAAGCTTTTTGAGGCCAATAATCAATTCATCTGTAGAAGGTCAGTTGGTTACCTTAAAGAAAAGAACAAACTCTTCAGCGATAAATGAGTTGTTTGCGCTTCGGTTCGAACAACTGTCGACATCCCCTTCCCAACAGACCGATCACTTTTGAGAATCAATAAGAAGGTCTTTTTACAACAAAAAAAAACGCATCGAGGATTATAAGTTTAAATATGTCGAAGGCAAGAATCATGGCACAACAAAAAAAAATCTGCATTAAGCTCTCCATGTATGGAATCACTGGAAGGGTCTTCTCGATCATAAAATCCTTCCTAATAGGGACGACCTCAAATGTGGTTATAAACGGCCAGTCCTACGGAGCCCTAGACGTGAACGCAGGCGTCTCCTGAGGTTCATTGCTCGGACCAAACCACTTTTTTATCTATATAAATGATCTGCCTAAGAATATACATAAATCATTTGTAAACATCTATGCCTATATACGGGTGAACCTCTAAAATTCTAGATGGTTAGAGATTAGCGATTGATCTCTCTATGAACTTGCACAAAATACCCAAGGGGGTAAAAACTGTCTGGTTACAGTAACAAGCTAGTTTGATTCCATCATCGACGATTTGACCTCGAGCTACCACCAATCGGGATGAACGGAAGTCCTCTCTGGAGAGCACCGTGACTTGAAAGACTGTTGGGCCTCAAAATCACACACGACCTCGAGTAGAACTCGTACATAGGATCCATTGCTATAGTTGCAGGTAAAATATTTGTACCGCTCCAGTAAGTAGCTGATCAGGTAAAAAATGGATTATTGTTATTATATTTGTAGGGGAACTACCCAGACCTGACTCTCCTGCCTCACTGTAAAAAAAAAAAAATGAAATTCATTAAGCAAGGTACCGTAGTTTTTTTCTTTTGAGTTATTTCCCAAGTACTTTCAATCCAAAAGAAAAAAAAAAGATACGTCGCCATCCTTTATGAATTTATTATCAATTTTAAGAAGTCGAACAGAGACACATACATACCTACCTACCTACCTACCTACCTACCTACATACATACATATATATATATATATATATATATATATATATATATTATTATTTAAAAAATATGATTCCAAATCGCGACATAAGAAGACCCATGTTTCAAAACAAGGATGAAGAAAACTCCAATATAATTATTTAAATTAAATTGATTTAAAATAAGCTCTGTTCCATCTTCAAGCGAAATTTTTTGGAATTGAAGATGGAACTGAGCTTATTTTAACTCAATTTAATTTAAATAATTATATTGGAGTTTTCGGCTCTTGTTTTGAAACATGGGACTTCTTATGTCGCGATTTGGAATCATATTTTTAAATAAATAATTATATTTATGCTCTACTTTTGTATCGAGCACTATTTTTTAAAAATAATAACTAAAATACTAAGGGACTTTGGATTATTTACCTAACCAGTTCCTTCCTATTTTCTATATATTTTCATATATATATATATATATATATATATATATTCATTCAAGCATGTTATATATATGCCCGGATTCTTCAACAAAACATGCCAACGGCGACAGTTGTTTCATGTTTAAACACAATTCACATGGCCTGACGACTGTTTTTGAGCATGAAATAGACTGTCGCCGCTGCGTGGTGACTTCAATGTCCATTGTTATATTTACATACGCTCTATCCCCGTTATTGATCACTTAACCCATAATTATAGCATACACACACACACACACGCGAGTGCGCGCGCGCACACACACACACAAATATACGACCCAGTGTTCCTAAAAATTTAAAAATAAAAAATTTTTAAATATTTTTTATTGTACAATATCTATCTATCTATCTATCTATCTATCTATCTATTTATATATATATATATATATATATATATATATATATATATATATATATTCATCCAGCTCATCAGACATCCGGTATACATATAATATATATATATATATATATATATATATATATATGATAAATGCGAATGGCAGTGTCATTGTGTCAAACTTTTTCAATTTTACTCCTAGACGCCTTAGCCCAATATCATTTTGGGATCAGGCCGACTCTCGGAGTAAATTAAAAACATTCCGGACTGGATCCGGATCCACAATCCTGAAATTTTGGATTCCCAAGTTTTCATTAATGCGATTGTTTTCGGATTCCGCCATCTTGTCTGATAAAATAATTAAAGGGACACAACTCTCTAAATTTCAATAGCTCATCTTCAAATAGAAATATTACAGGTTTTAAAAATAATATTGTCCGTGTTTTTCCTAGAGTTCAACGTAATCAGACCATTTTGTAATCAGGCCGAGTAGCTGGACGATTGTTTTCGGTGATTTTTTACGTGATATTCTTACAAGGAATTTTTATACCTTGGAAATAAATTTGAGAATTAATTGCAAAATTCATCAAATGTCATATATATATATATATATATATATATATATATATAACCTCCAATCTATAAAAACACT